TTTATTTAAGTCTTTGTAAACAACTGCAAAAATCAATTCATCAATAAAACAACAACATTATACAGTTTTTTAAAATAATAAAAACTATTTGAATAATAAAAATAAAACCACAAATTAGGTATGTATAAATAAACAAACTCATAAAGGTCAACAAAGTCTAATATTATTTTTGAAAATGATAAGTCTAGTCTAAAACCAGTACCTATAACTTGAAGAAGCCATTTAGTATGCGTCTGAGAAGTAAAAAGTGAATTTAAATTTTGAGTATTTTTGGTCAACTCTTTGCTTATTAAAGTCACAATATCATTTTGTGTTGTTGTTTCAAAGACAGATAGTACATCAGAGTCGCTTGAAATATTCATCAGCTTAAGTTCTACGGCTTTGTGTATGAACATTTTTGTTGTTTCAATTTGGTTTGTTTAGTTGAGTATCTAAATTTATATATGAAAAAAAGGAAAATTATTTATTAAAATCTACGATTTTTTATTAACAAAGTAACCCCTTTTTTTAAAAAAAGTTAATATGAGGTTTTTCAAACAAATAGTATAAATTAAAAACCATTATATAACCACTTTTTAGTAATTTAAGTGGATACATTTGTTTATTTATTAATTACAAACACTTTTTAATTTAGTTGTAATTTATTGTTTAAAACACTAGCGAGAGTTTAAAGCGTGTTTTCAAAACCACTTTTTGTTTTCGTTATAATATATTATAATATTAAATGGTATTATTATTTAATAAAATAGAAACATTTGCGACCAATTTCTCACCATTTTTTTACAAATCCAATTTACTAATATAAAAAGCTTTTAGTTTTAGATTTAAAAGTAAATATAAACAGCAAAAACAATTTGTAGCATTTTATTTGTATAGTCGAACAATTGGTCAAACCACTGAATTTTTAATGTATTTTTTACTTTTAATTTATAGCTTTCTTGAAGTTTTTGTGGAAACTACATGAAGATTTGTATTTTGGTATTTGAAAAACTGGGAATCGGTGGTAAAAATTCAAAAACACTTTTGTTCTGTGATGTTATGAATTTCGAATATTAGTGAAATGGCAAATAATTTGAACTGTAAACTATTTCAAAACAACGACATCTCAATTATTTTGTAATTCAAACAACAAATATAAGTTGATATTACTCAATTGTTATACAATCTGCGAACTGTCTTCAAGCATTTTCGCAAAAAAAACAAAATGGTTTATTTTACTGAAATGGGAGTATATCATCACAATTTTGTAACGATTGTTTTATTAAACAATATTAAACAAATTCTATATAAACTAAAAGTTTTGCTATAAATTTTATACCAACGTTATATGTATTCAATTGTGTGTTATAAATAAAACAGTCAAAGATATAAAAATATAAATTTTAAACTGTGATTTTACACACAAAAAATAAAGAATAAACAGTTCAATTGAATTTATAATCCAGAAAATTATTGTACATCACCATTTTCATAATTTCATTCAAAAATTTGGGGTTGATAAATTTTTATAATTACAAAACTCTTTTTGATATAAGTTAATCAGCATCAATTTGGTAAATAACTGACATATACAAATAACAACGAAAAGGTTACACATTATTATTATTAATATTTATTATGTTAATGAAACTTAAATTATCAATAGAGTTAGTTTTTAACGTTATTTAATGAATAAAAACCCCTTTAATTTTACTGTAAACAACAGGTGTTAGTTGAATAAATAAAAAACTATATCTAATAGGATTAATTTTCAAGATGGTTTCCCAAAATATTACATTTCTTATTATCCCAAAAGAACCAAATAAAGTAAGAATATTGATAATAAAAAAAGACTGACTGTATTATTTTTATTGATTATTTTTTAATAAATTATGAATGTATTAAACAAACCAATAAAGTCCAAAAATTCAATTATATCTTAATCAATTTATTCAACTTTGTTCGAAGTGGTTCATCAAACCAACGAAGCCCAATCACAGAAAGAATGATGCACAAACAAAGTAATATAGAACCAAACCCCAAATGAACGATACTAGGCAACTCACTGTATTTCTGAGCCCATACCATTTGTAAGTAAATAAGTGGGTAGTTGACGCAAAACATTCCATACGAAATATTCCCGAAAAATTGGGCCACTTTCTCTGTTTTTCTATTTTTAGTTGGACTTCCTATGGCAATCAAAATTATAACAGGAAATACGAAAACAACACAAAACACCTCAAAAACTCCATTTTCCCACCCATAATTCGCACCACCTATTCTAGGCGTGAAAAACACAAATAACAACAAAAAGACTGAAATTTCCTCTCCAAAGTGTGTGTCGATTTTTTGCTTCATTTTGTCAAGGAACACCCCCATCGTGAATGGAAAAAGAAGTCGTGAAAATCCAATATATAAATGTGATGTGTTTATCACCCACCCTCCAACCAGAGAATATCCATATCTCTCCCTCTTTTCCATCATTCCAAAAACGTTCAGTTCAGTTGCAATGTCCATTAATAAGAACGAAAATACAACACACAAAATGAACAACTTTGTCTTATTCAATTTCCGAAGAACACAAAAGTAAAACGCACTCCCACAATACTCAAAAAAGCTCGTCCACATCGGTCCATTGAGTGGATACATCGCACCGTCCCCAAAGATGTCTAAAGAAGGGGGAACCGGTATCATCAAAACGGTGATTAAAAATACAAATAACAACTTTATAACGGACGTTTTTTCAACTAACGGAAAAACTGGACTTTGGCAGCAATAAAAAGTTAGGAGACCTATTAATGTCCCAAACAGCTGAAAAGGTTGTAATCTGATGTAACGTTTTGTCATGAAGAGTTGGAAGGAAATGGGTGAAGTTGAATTGGAAGTGGACTTGGAATTGGAATATGAAAGAACAAAACCGGAAACCATGAAGAAAAAGTCGACTGCCAAATATCCGTGATTGATTCTTTGATCTAATAAGGAAGTTGAATACGTTTCAAAAAGATGAAAAACAACTACAATAAAACTGGCGACACCACGTAGGATGTTTAAGTTTTTAAAATGGTGTGGAGGTTGTGGGTTGGTAACTAAATGTGAATGCATTTAAGTTTGAAGTGTTTTTTTAGTGTATAAATAATACTTGATATTGTTGTTTGAATGAAAATTAAGAAATATAAAATATTGGAAAATACTTTTGTTCTGTTTGAGTGGAATTGTTCATTTTTGATTGTCTCTAAAATTTTGTTTGGAAAAATATTACCAATATTGCTAATACTTTATAAATTGTAAGTATGTTAATAATTAATTCTTTTAAAAATTACTAAAAACTATTGTTTACAATTTGAAATAAACTATTTTTGTTATTAAGAGTTTATTATTTTAATATTTTATATCAGATTTAAAATATCAAAAATTTATTTTGTATAAAGTCAATACAAATTCCAATTGTCATACAGAACGAATAAAACAGTGTTGTGTATCGATTGTGGATAAAACAGATGTTAAACATCTCGTTTATAAAAAATAATAGGAAAAGCCAATTTGTGTGATTCAAAGATTTTCTCGCTGCAAAATTTTGGTAAACAGGGAAAAGTTGAATGGTGCAACCCAAAAATTCAATTGAGAAAAATTGTGTAACTTTAGTTGTAGTTTAGTTATAGTATTTTAATTATAGTAATAGTTTTACAGAAATTTGTTTGTGTTTTCTTGTTTTGTTTAATTAAAACATATAATTGTTTTATTATAATTATAATATAAACAAAGTTGCACTGACACGTCAAAGTTGCAAGATTTCAAGAATTTCTTTATTTACAATTGTTTGAGATGTACATTTTACTTTTATATAACTTTTAATGTTAGTATTTTACTTAAAATCAAATTTGTGTAAGTTTAATAATAATGTTATAATAAGGTACTATATTATTTTGTAAAAAAATAGAATTAAATAAAGAATCACATATTTATTTTGGAATACCAATTAAAAAGTTGTTATTTAAATTAATAATCAACACACATCAATACCACTGTAAATAATATTTTGATTTTTAAAAAATATAAAATTTCGTTACACATGATTTAAAACTGTTGTTTTTTTGACCTTTGATTTAATAACTTTTGGGTATTATTTTAAAATAATACGATAAAATATTTAAGTACAAACAGTTTCAAGTGATTGATGTAACTTAAAATATTATTTACACTAAATAATATTTACACCAAAATATTTTTACCTTTTTTAATCAGACAATTCAAGGCACAATTATTTTAAAATGTATTGAATGTTATTGAATTGTTTAATGTTGTTTTATCGACGTTGATATATTATAAAAAAATTAAAGAATGTAATAATTAATTTATTGTTTAATAAATTAATTGTAATCAACTAAAAATTATTAACTTTTCAATTTTTGAAAACAAGTTTTTTCCTCAAAATTTTCTTTTAAAATTAGATATCATTTTTATTCCTTTTTGTTGTTAAAATATAAATTTCATTATCATAGGCTTTCTATAATAACTTTAACCTCGCCTTTTTATTCTTAAAGTAATCATTCACTATATTTTTCATTTGATGTTGTTATTGTTTTGTTTATTGTTCTCGGTGTATTCTCAATGTTCTAAACAATTGTGTACTCCATCTGAAGCTATTGGAGAAATGAAACTAGCCAAAATATCCAAAGAGAAAGCAAAAATTTTATTTGATAAGATAAGAGAATATCTTGGAGCATATGCAT